CCAGGAGTGAGGGCCGAGGCTGTGCTGGTAAGCAGGCTGCCACCTGACACCCTAGGTCGTGTCTGGAAAACAGCTTCTGCTCTGGCGTCTGCTGGTATACTCAGAGTTTATAAAACGTGTGGCCTTGTGAGCTAATTTTGGAGACTCTATTGAGGCAGATTCTGGAAAGCAGCTGTTTCTGTGAGCTGGTGGGCTGTGAGGGAGGGCAGGCACCACAGAAACACAGCATCACAAAGCCGCGGACAGCGCAGGGCCGAGTCTAGACCCGGGTGATCCTGCCACCCCAGATGCTGGCCACCTTTGACCCTTCTCTCCTGGCTAGGCACAGGCCTCTCCCCTCGAAGAGCTGAACATTCTGTGGGGGCAAGAGCCATAAACATAAAACTGCCCAATAAATAGAATTTGTGATTTTTTTTTTAAGCCAAATGGAGGAAGAAAAATACACCAGAGTGGCTAGTCACCTATTAGCTCTGATTTATACTCTACTCTAATATCTCCTCCAAGGAAAGGAAAGGTATATTTTCATCAAATATAATCGTTTATAAAGCTTCTAAAGGGGAGACAAACTATTCTGTGACAATTATCTGGGCCCACAGATAAAATCAGAAGACACAGCTTAATAAAACAAACTTGTCTAGGAGTCACCCCCAGGCACACAGCCAGAGCTGTTTTCTTCCTTGTGAATTATTCCCCAGGCAGAGGCAGGGCTCCCACACAGTGTGGCCAATGGCAGAGACATCACTGTAGAAGGTGGGAAGGGGTCACACCGCAGTGCCCATGGGCCTGGTGGCAACTGTGGATGCCACAGCACTGGAGGCCAGCCCAGGCCCTGCCTCTGACAGCGACTCCCACCAGGGCTAGCTCCCCTTCCAGCCCTATGCTCTGCTTCTGCAAACCTCTGGGTTGATGTGCAACCAACTGAAATCTAATGTCAGGGTACATCTGCCTGGACACACATCTTCTCACTTTGGTGTCAGAAATTTAAAAAAGGAATGCTGCTTAAGATCATTTGGGCTTTTAGTTTCTTTACGTTTCCTTGTCAAAGTGCTATGGGCTAGAACACCAAGCATCGAGGGCTCCAGACGGACTCTCCTTGTCTTTCTGGTGTTCAGAGATGGGAGAAGGTCTTTGATGGGATTTGCTTCAAGGCTGCGCAGAGAATGAGTGTTGACCCATTGTTCCCTCAGCACATACTGAGTGAAGGCACAGTGTGAGGCACTGAGACATGGAGGAGGCCCATGCAGGCGACCTTCTCTGTGGGGCAGAAGATTATGGCCAGGTACACGAACATATCGCCAGGTAAGAAAGTTCATGCCATGGAAAAAATAAACAGGGTATTGGGATGGGCAGGGCGGAGACCCTGGGCAGAGAGAGGGATCAGAAAAGGCCTCTGAGGATATACATATACTGGGCCTGAGCAATTAGGGCTAGCAGCCACACCAGGATCTAGGGCAGAACAGCCAAAGCCAATGCCAACACCCTGAGGCCGGAAAGGCTCTGTGGTCTATAAGAGTGGCTCTAAAAGCATAGTCTGCAAAATCCCTGTTTTCATAAAAATAGGACACTTTTCTTTTACATTCATTTTCCCAGTGGTGTACCGAGGAGTTTTCTAGCCGCCACATAATGTGTGCTATCACAGTAGACTGAAAGTGGACGCAAAGAAGAGAATCCAGATGTCTTCTATTAAGCCAGACATTAAAGAGCTTTGCAAAAATGTGAACCATTAATTTTTTTGTTTTATTTAGGAAACCAGAGTTATCATTCATAGAAAACAATGCTATATTTGTATGCAATGGATATATTCAATAAATCGATAAGTAAATATTAAAAGCACTTCTTAGTTTTAATTCTAATGCCTAAAAATCTATATATATAGTCCAACTAAAGCTCTTTGGGTTCCTCCATACTTTATAAATACTTTTTGAGAACATAAAGGTGTCCTGAGGCCTCAACTCTGAAAAGTGCTGGCTTAGAGGGGCAGCCAGACTGGTGTGGCCGGGCTGGAGGATGGAGTCTGGAGTGAACAAGGGGAAACTTGGTCTGAGGGGCTGGGTCATGCAGCCACCATCTAAGATCAGAAGCAGAGATGTGGATTTTGTTCTAAGTGTAACGGGAAGCTACCAGAAGGATGTAGGCAAGTGTATGATATGATACACTCTGATTTAAATTCTAGACAGATCCTACAGGCCAAATGGAAGGGAGGGTGTGAGACTGGATGAGGAAGAGGCTGCTACTCTTAGGTGATCTCCTGAGCGGGGAAGGGGAGCAGAGATGAGGCATTTTCTGGGGGTGGAGCAAGCTGGTGGGCATGGGATGGGAGAGAACCAAGGGCAACTGTAGAAGCTGAGTGGCTGCCTACCTCTGTGGGAGGCCCTGACTACTGAGAAGGGACAGGCCACTGTCTCTCCTCCCACTATGGGACACTCCCCACTAACCCCACACTGTGGCTCTAGGATTTTGACTTGCTTTTCAGACCACAGCTCCAGCCCCAAGTCAAGGCAGGAGGACAGTAAGGCCTCTCTCCCTGAGAGGGAGATAAATGAGAATGCCCCACCTACTGCCCACACCTGAGTGGCCCTTCCAGAGGCAGTCGGGGGAGAGACACAGCCAAGAGTTCGATGCCACCTTTGGCAGCCACCTTGATTTCTTGTCACAATTGGCACAGCCTTGTGTTCCCTGACCCTGGGACCCACAATAGGACACAGGGCATCACAGCTATGCCAACCATCTTGTCAGGCAGGCCCAGGCCACTGGGGCTGGGGCCACACCCCTAGCACTTAATGATCTCATACCTCCCCTGGAAGCCCAGGCAGGGTGTGAGAGGTAAGTAATAAGTTGTCATGAAGCACTGTGCAGAGAAACTATTGTGCAGATGCTGAAGAATATGACACTTAGCTCCATTGATTTATTTACACTGGCTTCTTCCAGAAAGGACAGGAGCAGAAATAAAGCCTGGAATACTTTTCTCCTTAACCAGTAAGTTCTCAAACTGAAAGAAGCCCTGATGACCCTAAAGAAATAATTTCTTACCAGGCCAATCTACACTTAGTCAATCTGTACTCACAGTTCTAGCTTACATTTACTTAGAAGCCATTGTTACAGAACATGAAACAACCAAGAAAGGGTTTTAAACAAAGAGTCCTCCAGACCTTAGAATAGGCAGAAGCATCTCACATTTCACAGTTGAAAAGAGGTTGTGCTACAATCAATCTTGTAGCCTAAAGTGGTTTTAAGAATAAAAACAGTCACAAGCTGTGGGTTGCAGAGTGAACTGGTATGCTTTTCTCTAGAGTTCACATTAGGACTACATACCTGAAAATTAAAAACTTTCCCCTTTGACTCGGCAGATCCATCGCTGGGAATTTATCCTACAGGCATGCAAGATTTGCACAATTACACAAAGACATGCCAAGAATGTTCACTGTGACACTCTAAGAGCAAAACACTGGAAATGACCCAAGTATCCATCAATATGTAATGGCTATGAAACTTTTTTTTGTCCATCCATATGAAAAAATACCATACAACAGTTAATGAGAATCAGGCTGATTTAGATGCATTAACATGCAACACTATCTATTAGGTCAAAAGAGAAAAGGATACAGAATTATCCCCATGTTTAAAACAAACATGAAAAAACATGTATATGATTTAAAAACTAACATTTCTCTAAGGGATACACAAGAAATTATTAATGAAATGTAGTTACTTCTGGAGTAAAGTAGACTTCTTTTCTGTTTTATCACATCCTGTATTGAGTTTTTTTAATCTTTTTGCTTTTTAGAGACAGAGTCTTACTTTATCACCCTTGGTAGAGTGCCAGCGGCATCACAGCTCACAGCAACCTCCAACTCCTGGGCTTAGGTGATTCTCTTGTCACAGCTTCCCAAGTAGCTGGGACTACAGGTGCCTGCCACAATGCCTGGCTATTTTTTGTTGCAGTTTGGCTGGGGCTGGGTTTGAACCCACCACCCTTGGTATATGGGGCCAGCATCCTACCCACTGAGCCACAGGCGCCACCCCTGTATTGAGTTTTAAAAAGTCATACGCCTATAGTATATACTTTAAACAAATAAATTAATCAAAGAATGAAAATAGAATAAATCATTGTGTGTGTGGGAGACAAGGGAACCAGGACCCAGATTTTAGGCAGGTTCTTAAAGTTGTATTTTGTTCTTAAATCAATTAATGTTTGAATACATTTCACAACATAATTAATCAATCAATTAAATGTTTGAATACATTTCACAACACTTGCAATTTAAGTTTGAAATCCTAAATGTGGAAGGATTAAGTTACAGCGGAAAGCTTGGCTGGTTTTCTAAAGTTCTGTAATCAGGAGACAGTCTCTCTTTCGAGAGGTCGGGGTCTATGTGGATTCACTAAAGCACACGTGTCGGGACAGGCTGGGGAGAGCCTGGTCTTCTGCAGAAGCCGTTCCTTCTGCTCTGCCAAGTCCACCTTATACTTTCCATTTGAGTTTCTCTTTTGGGGGGAGGGGTGGGGGAGCGTCAGGGATGAACTTTGGTGGAAGTGGAAAGAGATGCTACTAAATGGAAGAGACGGACAGTTGCTCTGTGGGTGGCAGGGCCTTTTCTGAGTCTCACTTCTTCAGGGGATTGTAACAGGAACCAAACACACTATCTCTTTCTAGTCATCTTACATGGAGAAGGAAATTACTCTCCCACAAGCCATTACTAATAATTTAAGTATTTCCAAGAAACTTCCAAGAAACTTCTTAGTCAGTTCTGAGAAGTTCTTCCACATACCCAAGAAATCTCTGGAAAACCAAACCAAGGTGGCAAAACACCAAAGGGAAAGCCAAGATTTATTTTTGGGGCCTGTGTTTAATCTTTTGCTCTGCTTTGATAAATTCTAAGAATCTAGTGCTTCAAGCAGCCTGGACTTCTGAGAGAGGATGGGGAGTTCACACACTCAACACAGAGAAAGGCCTAGAACCCACACTATGAGCCATGGCAGAGGATGGGGGGCTGGCTTACCTGGCACCTTGTCCACGGATGCGAACACAGAGCGCTGCACTGTGGGATCATTGCTGCCCCGGCGGCCCTGGTCATAGAAGCGGAAAGGCAGGTGCTGGGTGGAAGAGGAGGAGCCAAGCCCAAACCCCAGGACTTCGGTTGTTGGCTGGATTGGGAGGTCCAGAAGGGCTGCAGTCAAATAATACTGTGGATTATTCTCAGCATGTGCCATGTGGGGGCAAGTGATGAGATTAGGGTGGGCCGGGGGGGGGGCGCTATGGTCCTGTCAGGCATGTCGTCACTTGGGAGGTGCCAAGCAGGCAGCAGACAGCCTTGAGCTGGGGAGACCAGTGAGACACCAAAGAACCCATTGTGGCTCAGAGCACACAAGGGCATCTAGTGAGGGGTTCAGGCCAAGGTTGAGAACAAGAATAAGGAGTTCCGGGCCTAGTTTTGCAAATAGAATGGATGCTAGGCCAATCTCTACCTTGTATTCTTAGCTTCCATGTGTCAAGTTCTCTGACCAAGGCTGAGCCTCTGGTACCCTTTTAGACCCCAAAGTAAGTGAGACCAACGCTGCCTGGAAAGTTTGCATGCGTCTGTGTGTGTGTGTGTGAGAGAGAGAGAAAGAGAGAGAGAAAGAGAGAGTAGGTGCATGGAAAGAACACATATGCTTATATACGTGTATATTTATGAATGGGTGTGTATCTGTCTCCGCTGTTATCCTTTCTTCCATAAACAAGTCTCATGATAAAGCAATTCAAAGGGGCTTTAAAAAATCGATTTAAGAAATACCCAAGGCGTTAGTTCTAACAGCCACTTTATGGCACAATTCTCCATTTTCAGATGAAATATTTGGCCTTCATGCCAACTGTGAGAAATTGCTTTACACAAGGGGAAAAAACCCTTTGCTAATAAATCTTAAAAGAAAGGTCTGAATGATTTAAGTCACTTTGCACATTATAAAATGCTTCTATAATGATTTTGCAGGCCAAGTTTCAGCTAAACGAGAAATGAGACAGGGAGGACACCATGGAACACAGCCTGTGCAAACCACCCAGGCACGCAGCAGCAACTAGATCTGCAACGTCCAACAAGCCGGCCCTCCAAGGGTTAACTTTTAAGTCATCCCCTGAGAAAGCTCCTCCTCCCCCAGTAAGTTGGAAATCCCTCAGCAACCACACCAGAATGACCATGAAATGAACAGTGCCAAGTATCTTGACAAAGACTGCTTATAATTTTAGATGCTGATGGAGTGCCCCAAGGAAAATGTCTTGCCTTCCTCACTGACAAACAGAATACCCTCATCTCAGTGTCACTTCTAAGGAAGCCAGGGCCTTTCTGACACTGGGCCGTGCAGGGCCTCCACATTCACCACAATCCCTGTGAAATATAAAACAACCTCCTTCTGAATTCAGTGCTGGCCTCTCACTAAGCAGGGCTGCCACTCATGAGAGCTTTGGAGTAGGAAGTTCTGCAATTGGATTCTGCCAACTTGCTGCCTGTGTGACACTGGGAAAGCCATTGAGCCTCCGTTTCCTCCTCTGAGAAATGTGTAGCGCTGCCTTATAGATCTCTACAATTGTTTTAAGGATCAAAGGTAGTAGATAAATGTCAAAGCATTTTGTAAACAAAAGCTTGAGTATCTCAGTGTGGAAGAGTGAGAACATTCGCCCCACGCTGATGGCTGACGTCTGCCTGCTTCTGGCCCCCTCCCTGCTAGGGAGAGTTCCCTTTCTTTTCTGTGCAGCCCTAGAAATTCTCTAGAAACCAAATACTTAGGAAGCGGGGAACTCTGAGCAGATTCCCCACTCTCTCATTAATGAAGCTAAACATTCCTAACCCATGTGTGTCATCTTCTGGAGAGGCTGAAAAGGTTTCAAGGTCAGTGTGAGAGCCCTGCCAAAGCCCTGCCCCCAAGGGCCCTGCCACTCACCAGCTATCCTCTGCATCTTCATGCGTCTCGCCTGGATGCGACCCTTGGCCAGGCGCTGCTTGGCGATGATGCAGCGGATATGGTCTGAGAAGATGAAGGTAGCCTGGAGGATGGGGAAGGGCTTGGAATGGGGGCTGGATGCAGGCTTGTGGATGGTGATGTTCAGGGCACGGCTGTCATCATCCACACCAGTCACTTGCATGTCCTGCACAGTGAGGGGCAAAGGAAAGGGTGTTTGTTGGGCTTGGGAGGAGGGCAGCTGCTCAGAGGCTGTGGGGTCATGTCTTATCTATAAAGAAGTCTCTAAATTCAACACTGCTTTTGCTCTGAAGGAGACCATTGGCCTCTCATGTCCAAGAGAATCGATGGGTACAGACCAGATCAGGATCAGATGGAAAGATGGGACGGTGGGTGGGGGGAAAGAGGCACAGAGGGCCCCAAATGAGCTAATGTTGAGTATGGTGGCTGGCCCCCAATTCCATGGGGACTTGAGTCACCTAATGAATAAACAAGTACCCCAGCCTCTTCAAAGAGCCACAGATAACTCAACAGGCAAACTCCCACAATTCTTATTCCTGAGAAACCAGAAGCAACGAACCAAAATTCCTATCACTATTGGCATGATCTTAATATGGTCACTTATCTACTAATCAATTTCTTCCTTATTTCTTTTAAGGAGGAGACATCATTTACAACCCATTTGTATGTCTTTGAGCAACTTCCGGTTCCTAAAGGAACAAAGCTCACCCCGAGAAAGGGACAAGGAGGGCCATTTAGCAGAGATGTGAAGAAAGCTATGTTTAAAGGTAGAGAAGAACCTATAATGTGTAGCAAGTGTATAAGGACCAATCCAATCAAAACTTCAGAATAGGCTCTTTACAGGGAGTCCCATGATGGTTTGGGGTGATCTGAGACAAAAATATGAGAATGCTAGTCAGACATGCTGGAGGAGGTGGAGAAAATGTTGAAAATCGTCTAGTGAGGAAGTTGCATTCTTGGGCATTACACTTGGCACAAGCTTCCTGGAAATAACACCCACATCAAAATGTGGCAGTAAGGATTTGATGAGGTATTATGCATTTAAAGCAAGGAGTGTGGTACAGAGGTGACCTGACAAATGGTAGCCATTGGATGTCGGCCAAAAACAACAACAACAACAAAAAAGGTTTATGTGGCTTTTATTGTCTGATGGAAGATACATATTAATCCTCTGGAGGAGAAAAACACTCTTCTTACACTAAATTCTAAAGGAAATTGATCATAAGCCTAGATAAATAAGAAGCACAAGTCACCTAATGGACAATGTCTTCCACGGAAATCTTTTTTTAATAGAAAGATTCTTCTATAGTAGTTGCTCACACCTGACTCTGCAAAAGACATTTTTAAAATAGACCCTGAAAAAGAGGAGACTGGGGAAGAGACTGCAATAGGACTTTCAAACACATGGGTGGTTCTCCTAGAGAGCAGGTCATACTGTGAGGAGGTAGACACTGCAGGGCAACCTGAGCAATGTCCTTCCAGAAACCAGGACTGCCCAGCAAGGAAATGGACTGCTCTGAAATAGATGAATCTCAAGCTGGAAGCATCTGCTAGTCATTCAGGGACTTGTGGTGTGGCAGAGGAGTGAGCTTGGGAGGCAGCTTTCAATCCTTCTAGTTTTTTGCTTCATTTGCTCAATGAGCTGGTATCAGTCACCCATCACATTGACAAACATTAAAAAAAACCCAAGCCCCCAACTTGATGCTTGGTAATTTAGAACCTACTGTTGTTGGAGAGAAGGTGAGCAGAAGGGAATTCTTTTAAACTGCCAGTGGCAAAATTCATTTTAGAGAGGAATTTGTCACTATCTAGTAACACTTAAAATTGGCATACTCCAATTTCTTGGTATCTACCTAGGGAAATCTTGCCCAAGTACATAAGAAAGTAAGAACAATTCTGGTCATAGCAGCACCATTTGGAAAGGTAAAAAAACTGGAAACAGCCAAGAGGGTACTTGGTAAACACGCATAAGCAGTTAAAAAGAACACCAGTAGGTCTGCATATACTAAGTACTAACATGGGTAGCTCTCCAAAACGTACTACTGATTGAAAAAGCAAAGTTTGGGGTGGTGCCTGTGGCTCAAAGGAGTAGGATGCCGGCCCCATATACCAGAGGTGGTGGGTTCAAACCCAGCCCTGGCCAAAAACTGCAAAAAAAAAAAAAAAGAAAAAAAAGAAAAAGCAAAGTTTTGAATATGTTCAACGTGACACCATGAAAAATGCATACATGCATACAACTTAAATAGAAAGTACATGCTGTTACATTTACATATGCATTTAGGAGAGAAACAGATCTGGAAGGATTATATTGGTAACTGGAGTTATCTCTTGTTGGGGAGGAGAGGTTTAGGAATTGAGGGTTTTGGTTAAAGAAGAGTTAGCCCTTATCTGTGCAATGTTTTAGCACTTCTTTGGTGGTAATTTATTTATACATTCCTTGAATCATTAGTATTTAATTTTAAAGACTGTAATTTTGTGTGTGTATTTGTACAGCCAACTGAGAAGAGATTCTGGAGTTCTCAGCTATCTTACCTGCAGAAGGCCTGCAAACTTGACCACTCCCCAGCCAAGCCTGGACACATCAGGCTCCACCAAACTCATCTGGTAAATATCAACAGCCAGGAATCGCTGGACCATGCCTCCATCCTTGGTGATCACTGTGCAGGCGATCAAGTCACTGTTATCTGGGAGAAGAGAGGTGGAGAACAGAATGAGGCCCAGCCCAGCTGCCTGACCTCATGGAGATACTTGAGCTGACTTTCATTCTGCCAGGCAGAAAAGCTCAGTGGTCAAAGCCCAGGCAGAGAGTCACACAGACCCAAGTCTGAGACCTTCCTCTGCCGCTTAATGCTGGGTAAGCTTCTTTGCCTCTGTGGGCCTCAGATTCCTCTCCTGCATAATAGGGACAATGCCCTCTCCTTCAAAGTACTACTTTTAGGACAGAAAGCAGCACTAGTTCGCATGTATTAGGTAGTCAGATTGTAACTTAAAAATGACCAACAACACAAGAATCCCATTAATAGGCTCGGCGCCTGTGGCTCAAGTGGCTAAGGCGCCAGCCACATACACCTAAGGTGGCGGGTTAGAATCCAGCCTGGGCCCGCCAAACAATGACAGCCACAACCAAAAAATAGCCGAGTGCTGCCGCAGGCGCCTGTAGTCCCAACTACTTGGGAGGTTGAGGCAGGAGACTCGCTTGAGCCCAGGAGCTGGAGGTTGCTGTGAGCTATGATGTCATAGCACTCTACCCAGGGGGACAGCTTGAGGCTCTGTCTCAAAAAAAAAAAAAAAAAAGAATCCCATTAACATTTCTTGCTTCCATTTAGTAGACCAATGGCAGCTTAAAGTGGTTAAACTGGGTTCACCTAAATGCAGTGTTATAGAATGACCAAGCCTTGAATTTAAGGTCTGGTAATTTGGAGCCGACCTCTGCACTAGATGGCATATGATCACCTGGCCCCTGGGAATCAATTTTCTCATTTGTAGAATGGGAATAATGCCCCGTATCTTGAGATGTTTGGTGTGTGGAATGAGAACAGATAGGAAAAGCACTTAGCGTGGGGCCATGTGCACAGGGTCCTCAGCATATGCTCGGTCCCTTCTCTTACTTGAAGTAATCCCCAAATTCAATGTCTGATTGACTGCTTGCTCTTAAGTCATTGAAATCACTGGAGTAACAGAGGATCACTGAATGTACAGCCTTAGTTCCCACCCATGGAATCCTCTGCCACATTTCTTTTAAACAAAATAGCTGAACCAGGAAACAACCTAAAGATCCCCGAACAGTAGAACTATTTGAGTATGATTTTTTTCCCACTAGATGGAAAATTATATACCCATTTAAAAATTATGTTTAACCAAACTGTGAATAGTGATTACTATTCACAGACAGGGGAGAGAAGTGAGAGTTGGGGGTGGGAGCGTGTTGGGGGGAAAGTATTAATGGGAGAACTTTCATTTTTGCTCTCTGTACCACTCTATCACTTGAAGTGATTTTAAAATGAGAAAGGCGAGATATACTTTTGAAACACATATGATAGGCCCAAGTTCAAATGAAAGAGGATAAAAATTTTATTATTATGAGTTTGCTACGTTGAAAAAAAGGTATTCCTACAAAGAAATATGAGTGCAGAGAAAGGTGCCAAACACTAACACTCGTCTCTGTTTGGATGAAGGATGGTAGGTAGGTATTTTGTTTTTTCTTAACAACTTTATTGAAATATTCACATACCATAAAATCCACTTATTTTAAGAGTATAGTTTGAGTTTTAGTAAATTTACAGCTGTGCATTACTACATTCCAGTGTGGAATACCTCCATCACTCCAGTAAGTATTGTTGGGAGCACTTTAAGCAAATATTTGGCTTAACTTTACTGGGGGAGGAGGAGGGTATTACAAATTATATACTTCTTGCCCCAAACACACATGATAAAAAATTTGGGCTCAAGTATTCTCCAAGGATCTCCCTGCTACTCTACTGTCAGTACTTTTCATTGGAATCTAAAGATCATAGGCAACCCCACCACCACACCCTGTGCACACCCTTCCCCCTCCACACATGCCTCCGTTCAACCCTCTGATATTGTGACCTGCCTAGAATTCTGACTGTATGTGGAAATAGCCTGGTCTGTCCTCTCAGCTCTTACAGGCCTTGTGTTTTTCCCTATTCTCTCTAGCAGATGACTGCCGAGGACAGCCAAATTCCCCACAGCAGACACAAGCACTGAACAGGCTTAACTGTCTACCTTTGTACTTTCTTTCTATATTATCTGTGGCAAGAATCTTCTTCCCTTTCCCAATAGTCAAGTATTTGAAGGTATATATTTTTTCAAAGATATTGTTCTCTGAATTTTTAGTTCTACACAGGATGATTCTTTCTAGATCTCTAGTCTTCTGTACTATCAAAAACAAAAGTCATCATATTCATTCTTATAAATATTTCCTTGGTGGTAGGTAGGGTTTGTTTTCTTTATTGAATATTTAAAACATTTCCTAAATGGGAATCTTTTTTAAAAATACTTTTTAAAAATAGAACAAAGACAATAAACATTCTTTCCTTTTTTTCTCTCTTCTGTCCTCTTTCCTATCCTTTCTTCTCCTCCCTCTCTCCTAAACTGGACAACTTAACTTCTGTTCTGGTACTCACAGAAGCAGCTCCTCTGAGGGCCTGCCTGGGGGAAGCACAGTCATGCCGGTCAGTAATGGTGGGGTTTGTCACCAACCCCCTCAGGAAGCCTGGCTGTCGCAGGGGCTTGGGGGAAGGTTGGGTGGCAGAGAAAAGACCTGTCCCTCCACCATCAGGAGCAAAAAAGGAAGGATAAACCCCAAAGCGGAACAGCTTTCAGAAGCCAGAGCTGTAATTGAGACATCAAAGCCTGGTGAGAACACAGTGAGAGATTTCACAAGAAAACTACAGTGCAGTTTTAAACTAAAAACCAGTGAGGCAGGAAGGCTCCTGGGGAGGGAGCCTCTTGCTTTTCAGAAGTTGTGGGGCAGTTAAAGAGAAAGGAAGCGGCTTCTACCGATTACAAGAGAATGCCATCCTCAAAGGTGATCAAGGAAATACTGGTTTGGGGTTACTTGTTAGTGGGCCTCCTGGGTATCACTTTAGGGAACTCCTACAAAACCCCTCCCCCCAGCCCTCAGCTGCTCCATACACTGGTCATGAAGCCCTTGGGGGACATGTACAGTCCACCTTGTGAATGCCACCATGTCTTGGGTAAAGGAGGAACCCAGGACAGCTGGAATGGAACCCGACTTTATCCATACATAAGGCCTTCACCTGCAGCCTCCCTGTGAGCGTATGTGAATTTTGTTGGCAGTCAGAAAAGTCATGCTGGCCTGATGGAAGGACTCAGTGGCAGGGAGCCCAGTCCTGGAGTAGGGCAGCCTCAGGAGACCCCCAGCCTGACACTCAGGAGTACCCATGGCTAAGAGAGGCAAGGGCAGGTGGTAAGTGACATGAGGCTTCCCTTCCATACACTGCTGCTGTCCATGTGTCACTGCCCATCTGAATCCCCTACACTTCGAAACATCTGAGTGAAGGACACCATTAACAAAATAACCAGAAGACAACACAGGAGGATATCACTATGATCTACTAGGCAAGCGGGGAATAAAGCAGTGACTGTGACAGACTCCCTTAGATCACTCACAGACAGGGAATGGGGACAGCCAAGAAACACACACAAAGGTGCTCCTCAGGGGAAATCAGGAAACAAATCAAAACAAGACACATACCCTACCTATATGATTGGCAAGAATAAAAAAGACTGATAACATCAGGTGCTACAAGGACACAGAGAAACCGGTATTCTCAAAAGCTACTAGGAGAATAAATTAACTGAACCATTTTGAAGGGCAAATTAGCAGCTTTATTTATTAAAACTGAAAGTTTCACATCCTATGACCTAGCAATTGGTATGTTCCCAAGCAAAACACACGCGTGGGCCAAGAGACATGTACAAGGATGTTGACAGCAACAATGAAAGCCTAAATAAAATGTGTTCATTCATCAGTGCAAAACTGCATGGTAACAACAAGGAATGAATCAGCTCTCCAGATATTTCAACAGAGTCAAGTCTCAAGAACATACTGTTGTGTGGAAAAAGTAAGTTGCAAGGTGATTTCAGTTTATGTGCAATGCTCTGATTTTTCAAAGGGAAAATAGAAATGTTATTAATATTTGCATACTTATGGGAGGCTGCAGCAGGTAGATTGCCTGAGCTCAGGAGTTCGAGACCAGCCTGAGCAAGAGCGAGACCTCGTCTCTAAAAATAGCCAGGTGTTATGGTGAGTGCCTGTAGGTGAGGATCTCTCGAGCCCAAGAGTTTGAGGTTGCTGTGAGCTATGATACCACAACACTCTGAGGAGGGCAACAAAGTGAGACTCTGTCTCAAAAAAAAAAAAAAAATTGCATACTTAAAACTGAATAAAGAGAAAAGTGACTCTCTTTCCATACCCATACACACGGGGTCTGGGGCCCAGCCAGGGCTAGGGAAGCAGTAGGTCAAGCTGCTGGCCAGCTAGCTCTGCCTGACCACAAAGACAGCAGATAATCACTAACTGGTGATGGGAGAACCTAAGAGATCCCCCACAATACCCTTGGGGCACAGCTATGGATACTTACAAACTAGCCAGACCAGTGAGCTCAAAACTCCGGTGTCCAGCTCACCTCACAGATGCATGAGTGCAATCTGAGCACCCACTTAAAGCCAGGCCCTGTGCTGGGTACTGATACTGAGAATGAGGCTTGGCCCCCACCCCAAGGAGCTCAGGGTCCAGTTGGGCAGCCTTGGTGTCCATTGGCAGAGTTGGGCTCAGAACCATAAAGGGCCACAGAGACCAAGGCTCCATTCTGGGGAGGAGCCAGACCCTAAGCACAGAGCAGGTAGGGTGGTAGAGGTCTCTATCATCCCCCCAGGACCCTATAGGCATGGTGTGCCCTTCTATAGAGCTTTGCTCCAGGGAAACATGACATGGCCCTCCTGCTTCTAAGTATTGCCTTTTGCTTTATTTTTTAAGGAGGGAGAAAATTCACCATTTTATTTTATTTGAAAATATTAAGTGTATCAATCCTTTTCACTAGATGACACTCATATGTTCCCATTTTAAAAGGTATAAAGTTTTTTTTTATAGTGGAGGACAGTAAGTCTCTCTTGTACCCCTCTGTGGAGGCAACCA